AAACACGAACTTGCTCTTCCACCCATGAATGGACGTGGGCAAATCCGTGAAGCTCCTCTTCCTCGGCAGCTGTTGAAGAGTAGCGTAGGCCGCACAGTTCTTGTGGCTTCCTCGGCCGATCTGGTACAAGTTCATGAATAAGGCCGTGGTCGGCCTGAAGCCCAACTCCTCACATCGAAGTAAAAAGCCCACCATCAAGGAATAACTGTTCGGCGTCAGCAAGGCCGGAGGAAGCCCCACCATGTCCAGATACTCAATGACGAAAGGGTGGAGGGGGAACCTCAACCCCTTAGCAAAGCTCATCGGGTATACTCCAAAGTATCCCGGTGGCAGAAGTAGAACATGGTCCGTCGGCCTGGGTGCCCTAACCCGCCCGAACGGCCCCACGTACATTTGGGCGACAAGATAGTCGGCCGCACTGCTCTCCGGCTTGATCAGGAATATGTTGGTAAGGTCCAAGTAGGAGAGGCCCGGCCCATTCTTCGGCCTCCTCACCCTCTTCGGCTTAGCGGCGCCCTTCACGGCAGACACCGGCCTCGGGCACGGAACGGCAGCAGAAGTGGACGCCCCGTCCACCGCTCGGGACGCGCCTACGTCCTCACCCTCTGAAGAGGAGGCGGACTCCTCGTCCTCGCCTTCCTCGTCCATCAGCTCTCCGGATTTGTAGGGGCTCAAACGCTCTATCTCCTCTTCAAACTCCTCGAGCACCTCGTAATCAAGCGACCTCGTGGAGGGCTGGTCGTCGTAGGGGTAGTAGTCCTCGTTCAAGCTCTTCATTACTACTACTACGGGCTTAAGGAGAACAACTTAAGATCTAGAGGTGTTTAAACGCCTAACACTAGATCAACTACCTAGGAAGCAAAGTATGAAAAGCGAGGAAGATCGTGATGAACACTAACCTCGAACAACGAAGAACACGAAGAACAGGCTTGGGAGTTTATCTCTCTAGAAAATCGGCCAGCACTTCGACAAATTCAGAATGCAAATGTGATTCCTCGTCGGAGGGGAGGGGGTATTTATAGACGTCCACCACTGGGAGGCCACCACGTCACCAACGGGCCAGGACCAACCCATATCAACGGCCCACCGGCAAATCATACCCTACGGCCTACACACGCTCAGTGGCTTTACAACTGCCAGCAAGCGCCCACAACGTCCCACTTACTCACCAAGATCACAAATGCCACACAATAAGAAGATGGCAACGGCCAGGTACGTGACGGCCACAGAACAAAGGGGACAAATAGCCCACAGCCTTCGGCTCCTCGTAACAACCCTTGATGATAACTCTCTACAAGTGATCTGCGCACAAGGGTTCTCCCACAGGGTTACCTTGGCCAGAAAATCGCCATGAGAGTTGGATTCAGGGGGACTACGGCGAGACCGCTTCGGCCAGGGACTCAAGCAACTCCTTCACCCCTCACACTCTTTGGCCTGAAGCAGTGGGGGACTGGGGGACTACACCGGCCTCAACAAAACAAAAGAGCGCGAACAAGGTAACCACAAAGCATGGCCACATCATCCATACAGCACAACGGAACTTCATCGGCCAAAGGCCCATAACGTCACTAGCAACGGCCAACAAGCCACTAGAGGCAAGGACACTCATCGTCCTCCGCCAACAATTAATCTTGACGGGCTCTTCGGCCAACCAGCAACGGCCACACAAAGGAAATGAGGCCATCGTCCTCAAAGCAAGGAACAACCTCAACGGCTTCACCGGCCCAAACATAAACTTCAACCACCAACGGCCAGGAAAGGGAAAGCGCGCCTTCAACGGCCACCATTGAAAGAAGGACACTCATCGTCCCAAAACAAATTAAGGAAACAACGGCCTCCCCGCCCACAGCGAGGAACAGGTAACGGCCAAAGCACAGAACAGGATCACCGAAGAGGAAACAACGCCAACGCCGCAACGGCTAACGGCCTGAAAATGCCCGCGTCGGCCAAAAGTAACAAAACACAGAAATCTACTCTCCTTCACTTCGTCTACGTCTCAGCTTAGAGAGTGGGGGACTCCTGATGGAGTATATGGGTCTGAGCCCCAGGACCCACATACTCGGAAGAACAGAAAGCACAAGACAACAGAGTGGCGCCCTCGTCGGCCAAGACGCCCCCGTCGGCCGAGAAGAAGCCAACTCGGATTGTGGTCCTGAGTCCAAGGAACCCGGGTGCCCTCGTCGGCCGTGCCCTCGTCGGCCGTGCCCTCGTCGGCCGCGCCCTCGTCGGCCACGAAGACCTCCCAGAATCGGATTCTATACTTGCTCATTTGTACAGCCCATTAGAGGCTTTGTATTCGGCCCAGTAGCGGTCCAGTTGTAAATGGGCCTCCCAAGCCCAAGGCTTGGGAGCCCAACCCTAATTTTCTCTATAAATACTCCCCTTGGGAGTAGTTATAGGGGTTACAAATTCATTCTATTGAAGCATATTATTGCACTTCTCTCTCTAGCTCTCACTTCTCTCTAGATATACTCTATCAACACCATTCATGATTAGTTCTCTAATCATACTATGTCTAACACCTAAGTGTCTAGACTTGCCATTATAAACATGACTATACGCCTTATCCAAAGTGGCAGCACTATCACAATGGATAGAAATAGGTGCAATCGGCTTCCTCCACATTGGAATCTCAAATATTAAATTTCTTAACCACTCCGCCTCTTTACCGGCGGTAGCCAACGCAACAAACTCAGATTCCATTGTTGAACTTGTGATACAAGTTTGCTTCTTGGATGCCCAAGAAATGGCACCTCCCCCAAGCAAAAATACCCAACCACTTGTAGAAGAATGATCCTCTACATTGGATATCCAACTTGCATCCGAATATCCTTCTAAAACTGAAGGATACTCAAAGTAACAAAAACCATAATCCATGGTTCCCTTTAAATACTTGAACACTCTCTTCATTGTTTGCCAATGTTGAGTACTAGGATTACTAGTATAACGGCTAAACCTACCCACGACATAAGCAATATCTGGCCTAGTGCTTGTCATGGCATACATCAAACTACCAATAGCTTGAGAGTACTCAAGTTGTGAAACCGCCTTTCCTTTATTAGGCATCAACTTCACACTAGGATCCATGGGAGTACCAACGGGTGAAGAATCATTATAATTAAACCTTTTGAGAACATTCTCAACATAGTGAGCCTGTGTCAAAGCAATCCCTTTGTTTACCCGTTTAATCCTTATACCAAGGATCACATCCGCCTCCTCCATGTCCTTCATGGAAAACCTTGATGATAACAACCTTTTGGTTTCATCAACCTGATTTTGGTCAGTTCCAAAAATCAGCATGTCATCAACATAGAGACATATGATCACACCCGCCCCTAAGGCATCAAATCGACTATAGACACACTTGTCTGATTGGTTTAAACTAAAACCATTGGACAAAATAACTTCATCAAACTTTTAATGCCACTGTTTAGGTGCCTGTTTCAGCCCATACAATGATTTGACAAGTTTACAAACCTTATGCTCATTTCCCGGCATAACAAAACCTTCCGGTTGTTTCATGTAAACTTCCTCATCAAGATCACCATTTAAAAATGCCGGCTTGACATCCATCTGATGTATAATCAGATTGTGTATAGCCGCCAAAGCAATTAACAACCTAATGGTTGTAATTCGAGCCACCGGTGCATACGTATCAAAATAGTCAATTCCGGGTTTTTGTCTAAAACCTTGAATGACCAACCGAGCCTTGAACCTGTCAACAGTTTCATCCACTTTCATCTTCTTTTTGAAGATCCATTTGCAACCTAAGGGTTTAGAACTTAGGCACAAGAACTAGAGCTAAACTAGTCGAGTATATGGATTGTTATCTTTAATATGAGTGCCAAAGTGATGAAGATATGTTGGATATATTTCCTCCTCATTCTCTGTACGAAATATGGTGATATATAACCATATTACATGTCATGGGTAGTTGCAACACGTTCTGGAATAACAGCGACAGTTTTTGGAAAAACTGCACGAAACTGCCCAACCGCTCTAGACCTCAGTCTAGAACCACAGAGTTGGTCTACTGAGTGTTCTACCTCGAGTTCCACTGCCGTAGACACTTTGGAATAGAACTCGTTCTTATATACAAGTGTGCACTCCACACCTCCTAGCTTGTATTAGAACACGGTTCTAATCCTCATTGGCACTCATGTCATTTCCAATTACACAAAACGGCCGGTGACACTAAAATCACCAACACACAACATCTACTGAACGCGCTGCCTATGTACACAGCAAACTAGGGAAGCGTATACAAGAAATATATACAAATAATGTGTACAAACATCCGTTTGCCTCAATTAATTGTTGAGCTGTGCTATAGGTACCCCATTGTTGGGTACCCCATTTTTACCCCACACTTTGTGTGATCAAAATGAGGCCACATTTAAATGAGTTACCTCATTTAAATGTATTGTCCCATTTGGGCCACACAAATAGGGGGTAAAAATGGGGGTAACATTTTTATTAATTATTCCATCGGTGTTGCGGTCTGAGGGTGAGTGTATCTTCTTTCAAGAAAAAAGTCATTTGTACACATAATTTGTTACATTTGTTGTACACTCCTTAATTGCCTGTAAACAGATAGCTCGTTTAGAAGCTCATGTGTACCCATTCAACTATGGGTGTGTGCAATAAATGTATACAAATTATGCGTACAAATCCTCCTTTTTTAAATTGGGAATCTAGGAGGCCGTTTGGTAACACTGTTATTCGCCTTATCATGCTTATCAGCCCACTTTTCATCAAACACATAACTTTTGCTTTCACGCGCTGAATTCTGTAGTAAGCAGAAAAAGTAAGATTGGAGTTACTTTTCTGGCTGCATGCCTGTATTGGCTGAAGTTATTATAGACGATCATTTTAGTTATTTTTACATATAATTTTTTTTATTAATAAAATATATTTTAAAAGTATTTTTTTCTCAAATTAGCTGATTTTCGTGCTAGGGGTGTGGTCTGCGTCTATACCATATACATTACATATATCTAGCATAATCCAACCACAAGCAGTAGATAAAAATGGCCACTTTTTTGCATCTGTACACTCCATCTTCATCTTCTTTTCTCACACCCGCAAAAGACACATCTTTCATGAAAACAAAGCCGTGTCTCCATCATAATCACCGACCTCTCTTTCTAGCTTCATCACACCCTACCGAAGCTGACCAAGAACTACCAGAGCCTATCAGAACCCTTTGGCAATGGGGGTGTGATGAAGGAGTGATATCAAGGAAGACACCAGTGAGGCCAGGAATTGTCCCGGAAGGACTAGGGCTGGTCGCCACCAAAGACATTGGCAGAAATGACGTCGTTTTGGAAGTTCCCAGAAGGTTCTGGATCACTCCAGAAACAGTTGCAGATTCAGAGATTGGGAGTGTGTGTTCTGGGATGAATCCATGGGTTGCTGTGGCTCTGTTCTTGCTTAGAGAGAAGCATAGGGGTGATTCCAAGTGGAAATCTTATCTTGATGTCCTCCCAGATTGCACCAATGCTACTGTTTTTTGGTGGGTCTGAACTCTAAACTATGTGTTTTTTTTTCGTTTCTTTTAATTCTAGCACTTGTTTATTGTTGCTTTTATTAGATCTGTGTATTATTTACTCCGTATTACTTATTTGTAATGTCACTTGAAATTCCGGTTTCAGTGCAGGTCAGAAGAGGAGCTTGCTGAACTTCAAGGTAACCGCATTATTTCACTTTAAAGATTTTTAATGTTGTGTAGAATTCGCTGAACAATGCTTTCTATGTTCTACTTGACAATGATGTGAAGCACTGTACATAATATTAGTTCATAGGTTAGTTTAGACTTTGACGTCCTAGAAGGCTAGAAGCTGGAGAAGAACATTACTATGTTGAGAAGGAGAAGAAGAACAAAGTACAGAATAACTTTGTTTGGGCATTGATTAAAAAAGGGAAAACTGTCAATTGCACCCTCCTACTATGCGCGATCCGTCAATGGAGTCCCCGTACTTTGGAAACTCTCAATTGAACCCGCCAACAATGAAAATCCTGTCAATTAGGTCTACATAACTGGATGCTTCCCGGTTAGCCCGTTGCTTGCTCACGTGGACATCGTACATTGAGGGTTCTGTTGCTGACATGGATTAAAAATTTCCACATCACGTGGCCTCTCTAGCCATTACCTCTGCCGGCCAGCTTCCATAGCCGCCGCCTCCGGAGTCCGGCCTCTACCTTCACCTCAACCACCCCTTCCGCCATACAAACGTCCTCCGACCACCACCTCCGTCCCTTCGTCTCCTCCATTGAAACGAACTCCAGCCGCGCCGACTTCCGTAGCAACCACCTCCGCCGCCCTTATAACCATACCAACCGCCTCGATCCGGCTTCCACCTCCATCTTTTCTATTGGAAGTTGGAACGACCTCCAACCACCCCAGCCTCCATAGCTACCACCACCACCTCCACCACCTCCACCATAGATCTGTAGTCTGTGAGGAGATGGAGTTGCAGATGCACAGGAGAAATAGAAAAGGGAAAGAAAAATTAAAAGCATCGAAAGAAAGAAACGAACAAGGGGGGAGCTGCGGACTGGGAAATTAAAGGTGAAGAGTAGCGGACCAGGAAGAAAGAAGAAAGAGAGAAAAAAAGAGAAAGTAGGAAGAGAGAAAAGAAAATTGAAAAAGGAAAGGGAAAACTGTCAATTGATGTGGAAATTTTTAATCCATGTCAGCAACGGAACCCTCAATGTACGATGTCCACGTGAGCGAGCAACGGGCTAACCGGGAAGCATCCGGTTATGTAGACCTAATTGACAGAATTTTCATTGTTGGCGGGTTCAATTGAGGGTTTCCAAAGTACGGGGACTCCATTGACGGATCGCGCATAGTAGGAGGGCGCAATTGACAGTTTTCCCATTAAAAAATAGCAATTCTAAACTAGTATTGTCAAATGGAGGCCCCATGGTGGTGGAAATATAGCAGACTGCTGTTTATGGCAAACTATGGTGGTGCCATATGGCAGAGTTTTGGGAATCTGCCATTAATCTGCCATGCACAATTAATAACACTGCCCTAAACAATAATGTTATGTTTTTTCTTAATAAACTTCAAGAGCTACTACAAATAAATGGTTCTAAACTGAAGGGTTGGAAACGGCCCTGGTTCTAGAATGGAACTGGTATTGTCCTTTTTTTTGCAAGATACCAAATCATTTCATCCAAGAATCATAATCAGTGTAGGGGCAGTTTTGCGCTGGTTAATTTGTATATCGATGGGAATCAAACAGTTCCTTTCCGCATTCCATTTTTTGAAATGCTAAAACTTTCCTGTTCAGAGACGCACAAAACTGCGCCCAAGACAGAGGCGACACTAACACGGGAGCCTGACCCCGAAGCGGCACCGCTTAACCTAGCTTCCATTGAGGTTCTTCAATCTAGGGTCCCGAAACTGACCAGTTTAAAACTGGAGCAGATTATTTGATATGAAGTACATTATTTGATGCCTTCCGTCTAATACTCTAACCATTGTTGTCTCTTTTAAGATCAGTGTGTCCAACAATAGGCAATAGGTTATGTTGCAAGGACATGGAATCACAAAAAACAGACATCAAGAAACACCATTTTTAAAATATTAGGGAGGCTCTGTACAGTTCTTGGGTCCGTTTACAATCCCGAAAGTACTCAGAAAAAAATAGGAAGGGAATAGTATAGGAAACTGTAAAGGAAAGAAAATGTGAGAGAAAATAAAGTATAGGTAAAAAATATCTATGTTTATTGTAAACATTTGTTGATCTCATTTAATTTTAGTAATTTCTATTATATAAATACTTAGAAGTATGTGTGAAACAAAACTATAAGAAAATAATTACATTTCACTTTCCAAAACTATAGCCCCAAACCTATGAAAATTATTGCCGTTGACATTTGCTTCATTTTCCTAGCATTTTCATGGATCTAAACATGCCATAAGAGGCTTCCAAAAATGTTTTACAATACATCCCAGACATTTGTGCATCATATCATAGCTGATTATTTTTTTCTGTGTATGCTTCATGTAGTATTCTTTTGTTACTCTAATAGCGCATAAATGCACATATATTTATCGCTACAAATCTCCACTACTCGTCTATGTCTCGATATGAATGATGCAAATCTTTAGTCATGAAACTTTGCAGGGACCCAGCTATTAAGCACGACTATAGGTGTCATAGAATATGTGCAAACTGAATTCCAGAGAGCTGAAGAGGTCATACTTCGAAACAAACAGCTTTTCCCTTTCACTATCACATTGGATGACTTTGTTTGGGCATTTGGAATCCTCAGGTCAAGGGCGTTTTCCCGTCTTCAAAATCAAAATCTTATTTTGATGCCATTTGCTGACTTGGTAAGGTCCTATATGCAAAAATATAAAAAATTAGGGGTGAAGTAGACGTAGTGAAAGAGTGACTATTTTGTTGTATGCATTAGATCAACCACAGTGGTAGAGTGACATCAGAAGTCCCTGCCTATGAAGTTCGACGAACAGCGGGCTTTTTCTCCAGGGATTACTTATTCTCTTTGCGAAGCCCCTTAGCAGCAAAGAAAGGTGAGCAGGTAAGGCTGACGCGCCCCATTAAGGCTTGTTTAGTTAGTCGATATCTATGGAGGGGAATGATTCAAATTGGCGAGATTGACAGGTTTTCATCCAATATGATGTGAACAAGAGCAATGCCGATTTGGCTCTGGATTATGGTTTCACTGATTCAAGTCCACATCGTGATGCATTTACGTTAACGCTGGAGATCTCCGAGTCTGATGAGTTTTATGGGGACAAGTTGGACATTGCAGAATCAGTTGGTTTAGGAGAAACGGCTTACTTTGATATAAAGTTAGGCAAACCTCTCCCCCCTCAAATGCTTCCCTATTTGAGACTGGTTGTACTTGTTGGTCCCGATGCTTTCCTCCTTGAATCAATATTCCGGAATGCTGTGTGGGGCCACCTGGAACTGCCCATTAGCCGTGCAAATGAGTTGCTCATGTGTAAAATTGTCTGCGATGCTTGCTCGTCTGCGCTTTCGGGATATAGTACCACTCTTGAAGAGGTAAGTTGTTGCTCACCAGACATACTTATCCGTATGAGAAAAGAAATATAAGGAATGAAAGTGAAAATGATCCAATAGTAACCGGAGAAAAAGCAAAACATTTTCTTCAACAAATACTGAAATACATTAGTTGTTTGCTTGAATGCCCAACACGAGAAAATAGAACACAAGATTTTGCATACTTGGAGAAATGACATGGTATTATATATACACAATCTGTTTTTGCATGGCATTATATTAACAACTCAAGCATGGGATGATAAACAAATGCAGGATGAGAAGATGAAAAAAGCAGGAAGCATGAGTCCAAGACTGGAGATAGCAGTGGAGGTAAGGGGAGGTGAGAAGAAAGTGTTAACAGAGACGAACAATATATTTAGAGAGAGGGAAGAGGAACTGGACGACTTAGAATACTACCAAGAGAGGAGGCTCAAAGATCTTGGTCTGGTTGGTGAACAAGGCGAACTTATCTTTTGGGAGCCGCCTCAAAAATAGAGGACACCACACCTGCGCGAATCTCATCTTATTTACAGTTTACTTTGCAAATCATTTTTCATGTCCGAAAAGACCAAATGGCACAAATGCACATTATATTATACAGTATTCATTCTGTATTAGACAATCATTTTAATCTTTACTGTATAATATTGAGTTATGAAGAATAAATAGTTTCCGCGTAATGTAAATGTCATCATGATTGAAAAAAATCCTGAATAGAATTTTATTGTAATTTCATCATAAAGTTTTAATTGTTTTCTTCTTTTAATAGGATTAAATAAGTTTTATTTAAAGAACAAAACATATTCAGTACTATGTACTCCGTATTATTTTTTAATCTTGTTCATGTTCTACTACATATTCAGTACTATGTACCCCATAATTGTAAAAGCATACAGTTAACCTATGACTTGATTCTAATGCGCCAGATACATAGTTTGTAATTGGTAATACTTTTCCCTTCAGTAATCTGGAAAAGTTAATTGTGTAATTTGTAAATCTATTCCACATAAATATTACATCGTATGTTTAGTATGGCAAGCATAATTTGTAAATCTATTCAGCTCACCCAGCAACAGTTTGAACAAACCCAGACTTTTAAATAATTTGAGCTTTACCAAATATGGCTCTGCGAGTTCATAACATGTTCTACATCCGCACATGGCTTTATTTTGTCAGATAAATTTCTCAGTAAACAAAGTTTAATGTTTGTGGGAAAGCAATGCATAGAAGAACACACAAATTATTGATAAAGATGGACTGCACTCTGCAGGCATACAATTTTACATTACATTCATAAGAAATTTTAACAACTCAGACATTCATTAAAAACAATCAAAACTCATTATATCTCCCAAATTCACAAAACGGATGTCCATATTCAAAGCAGTCTAACCCGATATCTCAATGGATTTAACCTCAGGTTTCTTCACTTCCTCCTTGGGAACCGTCACAGTGAGGACGCCATTCTCCATGGACGCCTTCACCTGTTCCATCTTAGCATTCTCCGGCAGCCGGAACCTCCGCAGAAACTTTCCGCTGCTCCGCTCCACGCGGTGCCACTTGTCCTTCTTCTCCTCCTCCTCTCTGCTCCTCTCTCCGCTGATCTGCAGCACTCTCCCTTCCTCGACTTCCACTTTGACCTCTTCCTTCTTCAGCCCCGGAAGATCCGCCTTGAACACGTGAGCCTCCGGCGTCTCCTTCCAGTCGATGCGCGTGTTCACGAACGCGGACGTCTCGCTGGCCGAGCCACCCGCATTGGCGACGGTGTTAGAGAACGGGAATCCTTCAAACGGATCCCAGACATCGAGAGAGAATGGATCGAAGACGTTGCTCCGGCGACCTCCAAAGATGCTTGGAATCAGAGACATTGTATTGATGTCAGCCAAACAGCGAATAAGTTAGCGTCGTTGAGAGTATGTGATGAACAGATTTCTTCCGATGCTTGGTCGAAGGCATGGCTGTCGTTTATAGACGCGAGAGACTGAGTCTGTGATGACGCCAGTACTTTCAGGGAGCTTCCAGAGAACTTTTGGGCAATCTTCCATTCTCTGTTCACCATAGTTCTACACAGTTCCCGACGTTGCGAGACGATTTGGTCAAATTCACGTTAGTTGTTTTGAGCATAAAATGGGATTGGGGCAGCCCAAAACAAGCAGAGGTCTTTTACTTTTAGTTTTGGGCCGATCCATCCAATTTGTCTGTAAGTTTAGCTCTCCATTTCAAAAGAAGACCCAACTCTCCCAAAACAAGTAGAGATCTTTTACATCAATTCTGTGTGTGTAAGACAGATTTTTTTTACAAGAATATTACTAAAATAAAACATATTTACATAAATATGATTATTCATTACTACAATGTGGTGTTTGGTAACTTAAGCTCAAAACTTGAACATGAATTACTATGATTTCATTACTACTCTAGTCATTAGTCATATTTTTTGTAAATCATCTATATTTTGGTCATATTTATGTAATTATTTCGTAAAACAGATGAATGTATGAAAGGTGTACATCCAAATGTGTACACTTATCATTTTTGAAGTTCAATAATTGACCATTATAAATGCCTCTAAAGTTTGAGTTATTTACAATAAAACTCAGAAGCAGTTAAAAGCACCCCTGGATCCGCTTTTAGATTTTGGCTTTCAAATGTTTTTTTAAGCAAAAACAGGTATTAGCGAACACTCTTGTTAGCTTTTTTAAATTAAAAACTGAGAAGTACTTATTTTAAGTGTTACCAAATACTCCTACATTCTCGATCGACTTCATAATTGCTGATGCATGATTTGACGGTGTTTAATTCATTGATCTCCATGAGGTTGTGGCATTTTCATAAGTACATAATCGAGTGTATATTTCAGCTTTTGTGCATATGACAATGCGATCAAATTCTACTAAGGCCATTTGTGTTTAAAAAAACATTACGTGCACGCAAAATGTGTACACTTTTGGCACATCAAATAAACAGTCTTTCTCATTTCTCTATTTCTCATGCTCTTTCATTCTCCTCTCTCAGCTTCTTCCTTTTCCATAGCCCCCATTCCCCTTTTTGAAATAGTTTTTTTAGTTTCTGAAATAGTCACCATGTTGAAATGTCAGACCCGTATTTATGAGATTGTAAATGTCACTCCTGAGTTTTCCAAATTGTTGTCAATGTGATCATTTAAGGGGTGAAATGTACTCCTCACCCACATTATACATTCCACCTCTCTAAGGATCACATTTACAACAATTTGAACAATTGAGGGGTGACATTTACAAACTAGGAATACGGGTCTGACATTTTTATACAGTGACTATTTCAGGGACTACAAGTGCAATTTTTCCGCTTACTCTCATTTCTTTTTTTTTTCATTTCTACCCCGCATCTCTCACCTCCCTCCCTAAACCCCTTGTCCAACCAAGCAAAACTCCAAATTCATTCTTGTAACTCTTCTTCATCCACACTCCTTCAAGGCCGAATCCCCAACCTCGACAAAACTGTGCAGTCAGATAGCAACTTGAATACCAACTTCAGCACGAACGACAATGTTCCAGCTCGAATCGATGCAGACAATAATGATTAGATGGTAATTCCCTTCTATATGCTCCTCTCTCCCTTTCTTCTTTTCCATGTTTCTTTTGTTTCTTCTACACCTCTCTATCAATTTCATCCCCGTTTTTCTAAAGTTTCATCCTTTGATTTCTTTATAACTCCCCATCTACCAGAAAAGCACATCAAGAATGTCGTGAAGTTCCTATAAAGGCAAGGCTTCACCGATTGTGGAGTTTCTGTCCGGCTAGGGCTTTGAAAGACTGGGCTGAGGAAAGAAACAAAACAGAAACGAGAAAAGTAAAAGAAGTGGGGTAATGAACGACAAATATAATGGGCTTTTTATAGGAAGTACATAAAATGTACAAAGTGTGTCTACACTAAGCATTTTTCTTGCATTTTGTAGAATAGGCCAAGATTAATGTAGAATAGGCCTAGATTAATGGTACCTGAGATATAGCAAAATACATACTTCTTCTGGTTCCAAAAACTTCACACTTTTCTTTTTGACAAGTCCAAAATAATGTTCACACTCCTATTTTTGGAAAGTTTTCCATATAAAGTTGCTCATATGACCTTATACGCTTACTTTATTACCTATTTTACATTCATTTTCTCTCTCCTATTACACTTAATCTATTTTTTGTAGGGGTATAATGGGAAATCCAAAAGCAACCTCCAACACCTCCAGCTTCGACCATTGGGGGAAAATGCGAACATGTGTCAGAAGTGTCATCTTGATGACAACTTTTGAGAAACTTTTGATATTTTTGAAGAGTAAAAATATCATCTGCATGGTATTTTAAGAGAAAAAAGACAAATATTACATAAAATGATATTTTCATGCCATCAGAGGTTGCATTGCTAGGCAGAGGCTGAGGTTGTGGGAAATGCTTCCATATTTTTTAAATGTGTTATATATATATATTTTTTTATTTTTAAAGTGTTTAATTTTTTTAAAACTTTACTTTTTTATTTATTTCAATTTTTTTTATAAAATTATCATGAATTTTTTATTTTTTTAATGATTTTTTGTATAAAGTAATTTTTTTTTATTATTTTTTTGTTTTTATTACAAACTAATACTTCCCCCTTTCCTTAAACTTTATAATTTAGACTGACACGAGAATTAATAAAGTAAAACATATGTGTTTAGGTTTGTCCAGATAAGAGACTATTAACATGAACAACACATTCTTTACTTAAAAAAAAACGGTGACAAAGTTAGTGGGAATTCCAAAAAAAAAGAAAGTTGACTAAGGGTAGAATAGGAAGATAGGCTAGAGTTTACTGTTTAGTCCTATCTTGAGAGATAAATAACATAGTACTATTTGTGCATTTACGATTAATTTAGTCCTCTTTAGGGCTATTTTCCCTTTATTTCATTTTCCTAAAAAAATTTCAACTTGTTCATTTTTCTTTTTGGAGGAATAAACATTTTTTACACATACTCACTACTTTTTTAGATTGCCCATATAGCACCGTACAATCGGTGACATTTTGATAATTTAATAGAGTCTAACCATGAGCATCATGATCACTGCTTCATATATTCTAATTCACTTTCTACCCTTTTTCTTATTTTTTTCTTTTATAAAACTTATTAAATTATATATATATATATATATATATATATATATATATATATATATATATATATATATATATATATATATATATATATATATATATATACTCAACTCTTATGAATTTCAATATGCCAATCCAATGTAGAGCCCTTTGGTAGTGCCCAAATCGACTGTATTGGTTGATTCTGCTGAAATTTATGAAGTTCTGGTTGAAGTAGTTGGATTGACTGATTGTATTGATTTATGAAAAAAATATTTTATTAATAAAATAGAGGAAAAATGATATCAAACAACAACTAAAATAATCATCTACAGTAGTTTCAGCCAATACCGCTAGAAAAGTAATTCAACCCTTACTTTTGCTTATTACTCCGTCTATTCCAGAAAGGTTTGTCAAATTGACTTTTCTTGGTCAATGACAATCAACTTTGATTATTGATATTTTTTAATACAAAATTATTTTGAATATTAAAATTATATCAAAATGTTTCTTATTCAAAATATTTTCATAAAAGTACAAAATTTAGAAATTATATACCAATATAATCATTCTAATCATTGTCCAAAGTTTGTCATCATTGACCAAGAAAAGTCAATATGGCAAACCTTTTCGGAATGGAGGTAGTATTACACAATTCAACTCACGAAATCAAAAGTTACGTGTTTGGTGAAAAAGTTTGTTAATAAGTCTGATAAGCCAAAATACAAGGTTATCAAATGAGCTCATAATATGGTACTTTTGAAATACGCATTGATATAACATTTTAAAAATGAGCATTTAAAGTACTTTTGAAATATGCATAAATATATAAAATATTTTGAAAAGAATATATTAACGAACTTTATTTTGATCATTTTATGTTGTCACATCAATGCACATTTTTTAAATACTATACTCATTATTAACTGTTTTTATGCACATTTATTTTAAACGTTATTTTATGATGTCACATCAATGCACATATTTTAAATACAATACTCATAATAAAAAATTTAAATGCACATTTGTTTTAAGTACTACTATAACATAAAATTCATTTATATCATTCACACGCGTAATATACTCATGAAAAATCAAATTAACGTAACTAACTCTGTTTACTCAATTATCATTTGTTTTAACAATGTGAAATATAACAATTTTAGCAAGAAAAGTAATTCATAATTTCTCACTTTATACCTACAATTTGTATCATGTTTTTTTAAAAATACATCAATGCACATTTAATTTAAATAATATATTCATAATCATTTAGAAGATTGAAGCTTTTAATATATGAGAGAAGAAGATGTTTTTATTGAATTGCCATTCAATATGAATTTTTGAAATAATTGCAAGAAAATAGGGAAAAAGAATCAGGAGCTCTAAATTAGAGGTGGGGAAGAAAGAAGTAAAAAAAAGGACAGAAAATAAAATAAAATAAAAACTGTATAAAGGGCAGCTCACGTGAAGCATAAAAGCAAAAGGTAGAAACAAACATCCAAATTAATGTCCTCAATGTTTGAAACAATTACAAAAAAGGAAAAATTCTCTAGATGTGACTAGAAGATAAACAACTTCTCAATATATGACTAGAAATCTCCCCTATGTTTTATATGACTAATTAGTATGTGCAAGGCATACGGAGCCATAATTCATCATGCGTAAATATCCGTAATACCCTTAGCAGTTAGTTTTGTAAGTCAAGGCTTCCTCCGTTCTATTTCTTTGAATAAGGAAAAAATGCGATTTTTTGGGTGGAGTCATTCGTACGGAACTATGGACCATACATCTCCATTCATGCATTATTTTCTCTAGCATTAAAATCTCATCAAATTAAAAATACGACAATGAAGGGCAATAATTGTATATGCATGTGTTGTGTATATTGAGCATTAAATAATACGTATAGGATCTGGTGCAATATAACTATAGAGGGGCAGTAAAATACATATACCGTGCAATATAGAGGGGCAATATAATTATGAGCAATTTATATATAATATAGGCAGTAAGTAATTTTTAGGAGTA